ATACAGTGAAGTAAATTTAGGAAGAGAAAAAAAAGAGACAAGGAGGAATAAGGAGATCAAAATTTGGGAGAACACAAAGAGTGGATGCACCTGCGCCATTGCAAACGATTTTGAGCCATGTCATTCAGGGTCTCTAACCATCGGTTGCTATCATCTCGCGGTCCCCAACCAGGTAGTCTACACCTACCAACACGACTCAGTCCACTTGTCAGTGACTTCATGGACTTGTGCCATGTTTTGGTTTGGCCGCCCCTAGCTTTCTTCCAACCTACTCCTATACCACTGAACATCGCACGTCGAGGCAGTCGGTCGTTGGGCATACGTAACACGTGTCCCAGCCATCTCAAATGATGAAGTTTTGCTACGTCATCAATTGATTTGCCATCCTTACCTAGTACCCGTTTCCTAACAACTGTGTTACTTACTCGATGATCCCATGATATACGAGCAATGTTTCGAAGACACCTATGATCGAATACTAGTAACCTACAGATATCCCCTACTCTTACCGGCCATGTTTCACTGCCATAAAGTAGGACGGGACGAACTGCTGCACAGTAAACCCGTCCTTTGGTTGGAAGACGGATATCTCGCCTACGCCATAAATGACGCAAGTTGGTAAAAGCTAGTAGAGCCTTCTGTATCCGTGCTGAGATTTCTTCACACAGCAAACCACAAGGGCTGATGCGACTTCCAAGATAAGTGAAGTGATCGACACGCTCAACTACTTCACTCCCTATCATTAGTTCGGGTGTCAATAAAACCCTATCCTGAAGCAACATTTTGTATTTCGAGAATGGGGAGAATTGCATCCCGAAAATGCTTGCATTGTTGCTTAGAGTGGTCAGAAGACTCTGCATTTTGTGAGCGTCTTCGTCAAATAAAACTATGTCATCAGCATATTCTAAGTCAACAAGTGAACCTCCCGGTAGACGTTCAACCCCTGGAAATTTAAATGAGGAGAGTGTTATCACTAAAAGTACGTCAATGACAAAGTTAAACAAAAATGGATAGAGTGGGCAGCCCTGACGAACACGATTTGAGGTAATCAATTCTGATGTCAGTTCGCCATAAGCCCTCACTCGACCAGTTGTGTTCGAGTAGAGAGCCTTTATAAGGTTAATGTACTTCTTTGGTACTCCTTTCAGTGACAAACACTGCCATAGAACCTTACGATCGACAGAGTCGAACGCCACCTTAAGGTCGAGAAATACTACGATTGTGGGGCGTCTGAACGTGTGTCTGTGTTCTAGAACCTGACGTAGTGTGAATATCTGATCTATACAACCACGTCCAGGTCGAAAACCAGCCTGATTTTCTCTAGTCTGTTCTTCACGAGCTTTAGTTAGGCGTCGAACTATTACTGAAGTTAATATTTTAGACACTATATTAGTCAAACTGATTCCTCTGTGATTGTCACAAGAGGACTTTTGTCCTTTCTTATAAACTGGCACAATCAGTGATTGAGACCAGCCAGATGGGATTGCGTCCAGTTCCCAAATTCTACCTAAGACCTCGGTTAATCTCACTGCTAATACTGGACCATTATCCTTAAAAATCTCATGAGTAAACCTGTCAGGACCTGCTGCTCTCCCACGCTTCAGATTTCCTATAGCTTTTTCAAATTCGTAAAGGGTCGGAGGACTTACATCAACTTGCCATTCAGGTTGACTGGAGATCGTGGGAAACCGAAGTGTGGCTGAAGGCCAGTTGAACTGATCCCTAAAGTGTTCTGCCCATCGATCCAATCTCCTGGATTGAGAATGTATAACATATTCACTTTTTTCTGAGATAGTTTCTCTAACAGTTGTATTCCTAATACTGGTTTCCTTAACAAGTCTGAACAGTTGTTTGATGTCATCTATTGCCGCTGCCATTACCATCTCTATTGCTTTCGCTAACCACCACTGTTCACGATCATTGCGTAGACTTCTTGTCGGCTTGCGCTTAAGCTGACTCCGCTCTTCATTATGTTCAGAGCCAGGTGGAGTGCGTTTCCGAGCATCTATCAGTGCGATAGATGCTGCTGAGATCCAGTGTTTCACCCTAACCTTTCGGGTTACCTTACTAGCAGATATCATTGCTGTTTCCACAGCTTTTCGGATATCATTCCATGCTGCCTCGGGGTGGGCATCACATACATGGCTGTCTAACTGTTTTCCTACTTGTTCCTGAACTATACTCTTAGCTTGACTATCATTAAGTAGGGCCCTGAGAGGTTTACTTGCAGCGTCTTTCTTATTTCCAGTAAGACGCAGACAAATATGCACTCACACTAGAGCATAATCCGAGTCTAAGCACGTGCTCCAGAACGAGCGATAGTCTTCTATCGAGCCCCTCCATCGGTGGCTGATAGCGATGTGATCTATTTGGGTCCAACGTTGGGACGAATTCGGGGGTTGCCATGTCAAAATATGTTTTTCCTTATGCTTGAGGTTAGTATTTGCAAGGAACAGGAGGTTATCTGAGCATAGCTGCAACAGACGGTCGCCATTATCTGTTCTTTGAGCCGCGACTCCATAAGATCCACCCAGGTGTCTTTCCTTTTCACTTAGTTTACCTACTTGGGCATTAATGTCACCAGCCACCATCACTAAATCAGAGCGGAAAGCTTTCTGTGAAACTCATCTTTTACATCATCTGAGCTGCAGTCAGTGGGAGAATAGGCAGAGACGACGAAGAGGCAACGATGAGTGTCCCTATCTTTCCGAGTCCTTGCTGTTCCATTTAGTTGTACTGTCTACTGAGATCCAGTCTAAGAGAGCTAGTTTTGCTCTAGTAATCAATGATATACCTATGCCAGCGAGGCCACGGGAAGCAGCATCATGTCTTCCAGATACACGAAGTGTGAATCGAGTTAGTTCTTTACACTGATATGGTGAGGTCAAATGAATGACACTACTCGAATCCTGTATGCGCGTTTCGGAGACGCAGTACACATCGATGCCTCGAGATTCTAAATTCCTAGCTAAGGAAGCCTGTTGTCCTATTTGGGACAGTCTTCTGACGTTAAAAGCTCTTACATGTAGTTTAGAGCGTGGTTTCAGGAGACCAGGAATAACGTTCCGCGTACTCGAATCGTTTGCTTTAGTGAGACGTAGTGATAAAGGGACGTGAGAAGGGTTAGTCGTGGAGATAAGAGATTTATTTGGTGGTGTAGGACGGATTTGAATGTGACTGACTTGGCCTCGTGTGCTGTTACGGGTATGAGGGCTGATATAACTTCCCGGCTACCCAAACCTTGGAAGGGTATTTCTTGAAGAACCTGAAAAGGAAGTTGGATTAGTGTTGGTATTAACGACTTGGGAGTGTGACCGCAGAGCCCAAGGGACAACTGCTTGAGGCCGGTCACACATGGCCTTTTTGTGGCGAGCTTTTAACATGTTAGCTTCGTGCTTCAAAAGGCCTTACCGCCGGAGACGGAAATCCGTGAGGTAAGGTGAGGTGTGAAATATTTAGGGTCGACCTTTTCTAATCCATTCCTTCCTTGTGAGAAGGCAGCACCTCTGCAGATGCTGGTTGTCCAAGGGAAACACCTTACTGCTGTTACACCCTTCTTCAGTCAGCAGTACAACTTTGCCCTCAGACCTTGAGTTGCTGCTTTTAGTTTTACCGTTCTCCAATAGACCTGCCTAGCATGGTAGAACCTACATGAACATATGTTCCAGCCAATATAGCTCGGTTAGGTCATAACGATAGGCAAGCCCGACCACCGCTTCAAGGTAGCAGCTACGGTCGGGCAATCCATATTTTATTATATTAAATAAGTAAACTAATAAGTTCCAGTGAAAACCTAGGATTTTTAATAGTTGAATTCATGAATCAATTGAAGCTAGACCACTATGGAAAACCTCGAAGCACTGGGCAGTTGTTTCGTTCTATTGTAAGACTACTCAACAGTGCACATCCATGATCCCGCATCAAAGAGCCTCGAATCCAGGACATTCTGTCATGCTCACGAGATGGTCATGAAATATTATGTATCGATTGAAGTTAGATGTTAACACTGTTGGACGCCAAATCAGTGGTCTAGAGGTTAAGCATTTGTGCTTGAGACTGAAGGTCCTGGCTTTGAGTTCCGTACTCAGGATTTGGGTGAGAACTGTTGAGAAGTTCCATATTAAAACGAAATGGCTATCCAGTACTTCCAGGTTTTCAATGGCGGTCCAGTTTGGATCAACTCATGAATTCAACTGTTAAAATACTACAATTTCCACAAATCCTCTTACTAATAAAAACCTAGGATTGTTTATTCAACTTATGATTTTGCTTACCAGACTCATGGAATTTTTAAGTTTAAGTTATCATGAAACAGTAATCACAAATAAATTGAACGCATTTAGGATGTAATGAAGTTAAAGGTTAGTCGTTAACGTGTTTACTTAGTAAAGCAGTTTTCATAATAGATAAACAAATGCTGGTTTAATTAAATACATGTGTACATTTACACATGCTTTATATTTTATGAAATGTAGATTGCTAGTATTTGTGTATGTATATACGTCGTTTATTGTTAGTTGATTCTAAAGAATCCATAGGAATTGATTTCTCTAAGTTTTCTGCATTCAAGTATACATCAGTAAAAGTTTCCTAGAATTCTGACCGAACCAATTTCTCTTTGTTATCTTTGATTTCTTATCGCGCTATGTAACAGTCGGTAAGTTACCAATGGACTATTAATGCCGAAAATGATTTCCTGTAATGTTAAAACATCTACATAGTCTATTATATTTCAACAGAGGGTTTTTTTGTCAATTAGGCATTTTTGTCTGTAGATGTTAATGTGCCGATTACAAGGACTGCTTAGTCTATATTGACTTGAAGAGATTTAAAGATCTACAAAAGGAATAATGTCACTTTTGATAATGATTTGATCGTCAGTTATATACAAAACAATGAATATTCTAAATGATCCATAATTTTTATGATTTATTTTTGTATGCTGATTCTAAAATTGTAATAACAATACATTTTGTTTACCAATAAAAAAAGTGTTCTTCTTATGCAATTCTAATGTAATCCGATCCTTCTGTATATGTTGCATTACACATGTGACCCAGCTAAAAATAATATAATAAATAAAAGAATAATTAGACTATCTAGAATGGATAACTTTCCTAAGTTAAATAAAATTTTTAGACGAAAACCAAAGTTTTAGTAATTTAATAGTTGAATTCATGAATCAATTGAAGCTAGACCATTATGGAAAACCTCAAAGCACTGGACGGTCGTTTCGTTTTAGTATGGAACTCTTCAACAGTGCGCATCCATGATCCCACATCAAAGACACTCAAATCCAGGACATTCTGTCTCGCTCACGAGATGGTCATGAAACATCGTGTATCGACTGAAGTTAGATGTTAACGCCGTTGAACGACAGCTAAGTAGTCTAGAGGTTGAGCGTTTGTGCGTGAGACCGAAGGTCCTGGCTCTGAGTCCCGTATGCAGGACCATAGATGAGAACTGCTGGGAATTTCCATATTGGGACGAAACGGCTATCCAGTGCTTCCAGGTCTTCAATGGTGGTCTAGCCTCAATTGACTCATGAATTCAACTATAAAATTATTAACAAGAGTTTGTAATTTTCCAATGCCGATATTCAGAAGAAAAATTGGTTAATTTCTGAGGACATGTTTTTATTAAGCGGATTGAGTCGATTTGGCATTATGGCTAGAATTAGGATCCAAGAAGAGCATCTCGTCTTATTTAGAACTTATAAGTTGCCTGTTAGGGGTTCATTTTTTTCAACTTTACTCATATCAATTCTTTTAAACTACTGAATAAAGGATTATTTTAGAAGTACTAAATTATCTTCTGAGACTAAAGCTTCCTGTTTGAATCAAAACACCGACCGTGTTTTCTTGAAATCAATTACTTGAACAACGAAAAAAAAACACCAGCTATTAGGATACTTGACAAAGATGGCAGATTGGCTGCTGATATTGTGAATTTTCGAAGATTGAGTTGAAGTTGTTACGTGAAATTGTTTCACAACCATTTGCAAGGTGCAGATGCATTCACTATTTCTGTTTCCCTCGATTCTGTACATTAAATTTATGTTATGCTATTTATCTTACAACTTCATTCATTTTTCTCCAGTTATGTTCTGTACTCCTTATCTTTTAACTACAATGGATGCTAATATTACTCCGTTATTCACCTTGACTATTCCTCTCTACGTTGCTTATTACTGAATGACTTTTAGTTATTTGTAAACATTCCAAAGTTAATTCTCATGGTTGAGTACAACCATTTTAAACCTAATCCCATCTAATATGTGTTCATAATACCTAATTGATACATTATTTTATGTGACAGTAGCTAGCAGAGGAATTTTGGATATATCTATACCATAGAGTTAATGTTTACATCAAGACTCGGTCCTAGAAGTATTCTTCCTTCTCTTCAAAATATGTGACCACAATACTCATCAAATTATCCAACAGTTGTGAAATTTTCTTTACTTTTAATTACAAGGAATAGCATTTTTTCGTTGTTGATATCTAAGACTGAATTCGATCAGAGATCGATGATATCTAGGAATTTGAAGATCTGAATTCCATTGTTAGTTATTTACTAAGAATTTATTGACTTTGTAAATACCGAAATTTCAATAGTTGAGATCATGAGTTAATTGAAGATAGACCACCATGGAAAACCTGAAAGCAATGGACGGCTGTTTCGTCCTACTATGGAACTCCTCGGCAGGACGAAACGGCCGTCCATTGCTTCAGGTTTTCCATGGTGATCTAACTCCATTAACAATGTGAGTTTTTTGTTTATTGTGTTTAAATAATATCAACTTTTCCCCCTATTTGTACAATACCGTATTCAAATTGTATTAGATAGCAATTTTCGGTGAGAGTATAATTTATGGATGACATTCGAGAGACGCTAAACTGACCTTGAGAGTGTACACCTAATAGCTAGGACAACATGAGGATTATAAACTAGTGTGAGGAATTCGAATTATGAATTACAGTTGATGGTTAGGGTTAGGAATTAAATCTGAAGTTTTGATCACGAACTGACATCAGCTATAATACCAAAACTCTTTTTAGCCAAATAGATGAATGAAGTTCGCGCCAAAATCTTAGACCTGTTATCTTATATCTGATTGGTTCGTCCATAACTTATAGTCTCGTTCAATTTTCTTTTAGAGTTTTCTTTCTATAACTATATCAAATGTGTTTGTAAATAATTAATGTTTAAATTAAGTATTTACCTGACAAACAAAATGTGGTTCTACAACATGTTTGATTATATCGACAACATTTTTATAAAGTTCATTCAAAAATGTGGAACACTACAAAATAAATAAATAAAATACAATACTTCAATATATCAGAAGGGGTTTTGTGGAAATTGCAGTAATTTCAATAGTTGAGATCATGAGTCAACTGAAGATAGATCACCATGGAAAACCTGGAAACACTGGACGGCCGTTCGTCCTAATGTCGGACTCCTCAGCAGTGCTCATCCATGATCCCGCCTCACGAGATTCAAACCCAGGACATATCAGTCTCGCGCGGGATTGCTTAACCTCTAGACCACTGAACCGGCATTCTTTGGTGTTGATGTCTAACTTCAACTAATCCACCAAATTGAGTGACACATCCACCATTGTCTTCAGTGAGTTACTATCTCACAACAGACCCGGTTGAACTCCAATGGCCACTACTTTTCACTGGAACTCCAGGATATACCTCTTGAAGCTAGTTTTTAGTGAGAATATGTTGATTAGTATTAGAAGGGGTTTTGTGGAGATTGTAGTAATTTCAATAGGACGAAACGGCCGTCCAGTGATTCCAGGTTTTCCATGGTGGTCTATTTTCAATTGACTCATGATCTCAACTATTGAAACTTCAATACATGTTAATAATATTTTATATTTTAATATTATTTATGTCGATATAAATTAGAAGTGTAATGCCTGACAGCAGAAGTTTGAGAATATCGAATTGATGAGAATGTGAATGTAAATAGAGTGTGATTAATGGCAATAGTAATGAAGGAACGATGAAGTTTGAGACAACTGATGGAGGATTTGAAAATAAAATACTTAATGTATGGTTTTCCCCATTTTACGAACGAACTCTGCAATTTTGTATTCAACAACAAATTGACCTTCCTTACTTGAGTGTCCATTCATTACATATATATGATATTCTAAGTACCATTTACTACTATAATGAAGAACCGAAATTTACTTAAAATAAACTATGCTACAATATGTCATTTCTCTTTTGTATTGAAGGCAAGATATGGATTACTCGATTTATTATGGATTGGATACATGTGGGTTTCTGAAAATTTTTTCCTTAGATTGAAAATTAAGTTTCGATACCTCGTGTGTCCATATGGCATGTACTGCATAACAGTGATGTCGAAATAGAATGAGACGAGTGTTCGGTGATTTTTAGTTTTGAGTGATTTGGATGTAAAATGAGAGGCGACCAATGTGGTTATGTAATGCTTTTCCAACTACGGAGGCGAGTAGCCGAAGCTTGCACAGTGTGCACATATGCTATAAGAGACTGATCAATTGCAGTCCTGAACATCAATGGGAAGACATAAGCAAAAACTACCATGTGGATTTAAACTTCTCTCCATTGCACAAGCAAGTGGCTATCAGGACTCAGTAGCTAAGCGGATAATGTGATGGGGTTTGGAGAGAACGATACTGGCTTCGAGTCCCAGAGTGAACATCAACTCTGAGATGCAGGTACATTCGGTTGACAATTCCCAAATAGTACGAAACGCGCATCCTGGTTTCCACTACTAGCCACTATCCATCTTTGCTTAGAATGCTTGTGAATTAAGGCAATATCGATGCAATACGCACAGTATGCACATATGCCAATAAGAAACTGATCAATTGCAGACCTAAACAACATTGGCAAGATACAAGTGAAGTTTTCACATTTGACCTTATTTATTTCCACACAATCTACACACATACGCACTTAATTTCAACCCCACTACTTCATATTACATATGCATACATTTGTCACACTTTTCATACCCACATTCTGACTCACAAATTAATACAGTGATAGGTCATACAAATTTACCATTGACATATGTGTTCCGATAGAACAATGAGAAGACGGAGTTGATCTGAAAAATGTGATGTATTTGCGCTATACATTTCGAACAATCTGGTCACACATATACTTGTCAAGGCATTTTTATATGAAAATTAATAAAGGTCAAACAAACAAATAAAAGTACAACTAAAATAACTAAGGGGGGAGAAAGAATAAGAAATTGTCGCGTTATCCTAGGCCATAGAATGACTTAAGGATTACCAAGGTAAATTCAAGGTTACGACAAATTGTTTTTGTACACATAAGGGGGGTTTAAATTTACGAATAGCTAAGGCTTCAATGTGTTCGTTTCTTTGAATATATTGCCACTTGTTAGTAAGGCATACGTGTAATTTTGGTGGAAAGGGGAAAGAATTATGATCTCTCTCGTTGGTTTTGAATTCATATCAGTCAGTATTATTGTCAAAGATATTACCACTAAATGATCCAGACTATGAATAACCTTATAAATGTACTCAGTCACTTCTTTTTATTAGTGGATATAACTAAAACTGAAAATTTCGGTTAACATTTGATACACTAGGATTTCATTATATGACATGATTTGAATTGGACTAATAGAGAAGCCTGATAAGTTTCAATAAATATCGCATTTAATTATAGTGTTTCATGAGGTACATTCTGATATTCACTAATATTCAATTTATTTTCATGAGTCAGTCTAAGCTAGACCATAAATGAAAACCTGCAAGCATTGGATGACCGTTTCGTTCTCATATGGGACTCCCCGGCAGTGCAGATCCACAATCCCACACTGGAAACTCGAACCCAGGGCCTTTGGTTTCATTCGCTAACGCTTAACCCTTAGACCACTGAACCGGCATCCAATGATGTTAGTGTCTAACTGCAATTGAACAATAATCTTTCACAATCCTTCATTTATCATCTGAAGTGGATAACTGTATCCATTTGACATGGATTGGACTACACTGGTCACGGTTTTTCAACTTATTTTATCTGAACATTATTTTTATTCCAAATAACGAAATTAATGCATTTATGTTCAACAACGATTGTCATACACGAAAGAAATTCACAACTTTTATGACGTGTAGGCGAGAATGATAATGATTGGTTGTCTGCTTAGTCAGACATGCAGATTGTCTGACATGTGTCAGATGAGTTATATATTCCTCTATCCTTATTATTATTATTGATTGATTGATTGTTCATTGTTGTTGGATTGTGTCGGGTTCTGGTGTGGATATATATTTACGTTGTGGTCAGGCTAATCGCGTCTTCTTGATCTGAGATGTGTTGAAGTCCTGTAGAATAGACACTGGGAGGGAATCTAGTTTAGATATTCGTCTAAGGTAAATTAACGTCTCACACGTGTAAACGTACAAATCCAACCGTTATAACATTGGACGAAGTGAAACCGAGAGTTATAACATTTTATCTATTCTGTTTAAATTAATTTAGAATCTAGATTTCAAAATTAACCATAGTTTAAATAGTCCATCAGTTTCTTATTTCATGTAGCTTTCGTGAAATTATTATAAAGGTAGAAAGTACAGTTGAATATCATTTGTCAATTATTTGTGTGTAATTATATCTTGGAGCTGATTGTACCTTGACTTATAATTCTAGATGTAATAAACTTGGGCTAGACCCTTTATGGAAGAGGAGACTCAAACTAAATCTAAATATTTTCTTCAAAATACTTAATAAACTATCCTTTACATCCGGTCAAGCAAGTCAATTTTCAGAAACTTCTAATTACAACATCCATAACTGCTTGTCACTAGTGAAACAGACCCTTTCTAAGTCATCTCTCTATATATTTTATTTTACCTGTAAATTTTCCAGACTCTGGAATCATCTGTCACAATCTATTCGTAAGATAAAATCACTCTCATCCTTTGTTTACTGCATTGATGCATACCGCTCCACTAAATATGTATTAAATGTTCTAGGGCCTGTAAGTGTATCTTATTCCACAAGTGAGATTATAAGAACTTTAGATGTTTAGCTATTCTTATTACTGGATCCACTAAATAAAACCACCTACCCTTTGTTACCTTACGTTAACACTGTCCTTGGCAACCCTAATATCTAACATGTACAATATGTCACTGAGTCATATGACACATGCATTTTGGTTGACCTAACTGACATATTTGAGTAATTATTGCTTTGCTGTTCCGTGCTCTCTGTTCCCATTTTACTTTCTCTAATTGTAGATGATTATAATCAAATCTTTATGGCATAGGAAATGACCTTAAATGCACTGTTCATAAATCAACAGGATGTACACTTAAGAGGAATTAAAAGTTCTCGGCCGATGCATTACATTGTTGTAATACATATCATAAATGTACTGCCTAAACAATTCTTGAACTAGTAACCTAAAACAATCTCATATCACACGTTTGTCCTCTACATTTTATGTTACTAATTATATCAAGCTGATCATGCCTGTAAACTGGCGTGAATTCTGTAATTATTTTCAGAATATATATAATACTTGATAGAATATCAAAAAAACGTATTATGAATGGAGTTATCCACATGATTAACTACTTTCATCATACCCAAAACTTTCGGTCTTTCTTTTTCATTCATTTAGTGACTGAATCATGGATATTTAAAGTGGAATTTACATGAAAAATTATTTAGTCACATTTAGTCTTTTTTATACGACAGTATCGAGTAGTGAATAACTGGAATTCTCTACTAGAGCATTCAATATCATCGTCTTCTATTGATATATTGAAAGCGAAATTGGATCGTTACAGTAATACAAATTGCAGGGATTAATATGGTTCGATTGGTCTCGTTTTCTTACTTCTGTAGACTGAAGACATGTCATGCTGTTTTACATTGTATATGTTTGTGGTAAAACTCCGCCTGTAGCTCTTCTAGAGTTACTGCCGGTCCCAAGCCCGGGTAAAGGAGGAGGGTTGGGCATGGGGTTAGCGTCCCCATCCCGTAGAAAACTAACTCGCTAAAAAAACGCTTACCAGAAAAAATAATTCAAACCATTTTAACTCTGCCCTGAGAGTTAGAAGGTCTTCATTTAGAAGAATTATGACGCTTCATGGTGAAAGCCGAGTTCCTTCGGAAGCCACGAGGCCGATGCCCCTTCTAACAACCAGAGCAAAAATTTTTATAGGTACATGGAACGTTCGAACAATATGGGAAACCGGGAAGACCAGCCAAATAGCAACGGAAATGAGGAGATACAACTTGGCAGTACTGGGAATCAGCGAAACCCATTGGACCCAAGCTGGACAGAAAAGGCTAGCTACGGGAGAGATGCTGCTATACTCCGGTCACGAAGAGGAAAATGCTCCACACACTCAGGGAGTTGCTCTAATGCTGTCCAAAGTAGCACGAAATGCACTTGTAGGTTGGGAATCCCACGGATCCAGAATCATCAAAGCATCATTCAAAACAAAGAAGGAGGGGATCACAGTGAATATTATCCAATGTTATGCACCCACCAATGATAGCAACGACGACATTAAAGATCAATTCTACGAGCGGCTGCAGTCAATCATAGAGAAATGCTCAAGAAAGGACCTCACCATTCTGATGGGAGATCTAAATGCCAAGGTCGGAATAGACAACACTGGATATGAAGATATTATGGGACGACATGGACTGAGAGAGAGGAACGAAAATGGAGAAAGATTTGCAAATTTGTGTGCATTCAACAAATTAGTCATAGGTGGCACAATATTTCCACACAAACGTATACACAAGGCTACATGGATCTCACCGGACCACACTACAGAGAACCAGATAGACCATATTTGCATCAACAAAAAATTCCGAAGGACAATGGAAGATGTGAGAACCAGGAGAGGAGCTGACGTAGCTTCAGATCACGACCTAGTTGTAGCCAATTTAAAACTGAAGCTAAAAAAGTACTGGACAAGTGGACAAACAGCACTACAAAGGTTCAATACAGCCTTCCTTCGAGATACTGACAAACTCAATGAATTCAAGATAGCTCTCAACAACAGGTTCCAAGCCTTTCAAGATCTACTGAAGGAAGAAGAAACTACCATGGAGGACAACTGGAAATGCATTAAAGAAACATTGACTTCAACGTGTCAAGAGGTTCTGGGCCTAAAGAAACACCATCATAAGGAATGGATCTCTACAGAAACACTGGACAAGATCAAAGAAAGGAAGAACAAGAAGACAGCAATTAACAACAGCCGAACACGAGCAGAGAAAGTCCAAGCACAAGCTGAATACATAGAAGCAAACAAGCAAGTGAAGAGGAACATTAGAGCCGACAAGAAGAAATACGTGGAAGAATTAGCAACGACAGCAGAAAAAGCTGCTAGAGAAGGAAATATGAAACAGCTCTACGATACAACAAGAAACTATCAGGGAAATACAGTAAACCAGAGAGGCCGGTCAAAGACAAAGAAGGCAAGCCAATCACTGAAATTCAACAACAGCGAAACAGATGGGTAGAATACTTCGAGGAACTCCTGAATAGGCCGGCTCCAATGAATCCACCGGACATCGAAGCAGCACACACAGATCTTCCTATAGATGTCAACCCACCAACGACGGAAGAAATTAGAATGGCCGTCAGACAAATCAAGAACGGGAAAGCAGCAGGACCCGACAACATACCAGCTGAAGCACTGAAGTCAGACATCGAAGTAACTACAAGCATGCTTTACCTTCTATTCAAAAAGATTTGGGAGGAGGAACAAGTGCCGATGGACTGACGAGAAGGACACCTCGTCAAGATTCCAAAGAAAGGAGATCTGAGCAAATGTGAAAACTACAGAGGCATTACACTACTGTCAATACCAGGGAAAGTCTTCAACAGAGTGTTGCTGAACCGGATGAAGGATGCAGTAGATGCCCAACTTCGAGATCAACAAGCTGGATTCCGAAAGGATCGGTCGTGCACAGACCAAATTGCAACACTACGGATCATCGTCGAACAATCAGTTGAGTGGAACTCGTCACTATACATCAACTTCATTGATTATGAAAAGGCATTCGACAGTGTAGATAGGAGGACATTATGGAAACTTCTTCGACACTACGGAGTTCCTGAGAAGATTGTCAATATAATCCGGAACTCATACGACGGACTACAGTGCAAAGTAGTGCATGGAGGACAGCTGACAGATGCATTCCAAGTAAGGACCGGAGTCAGACAAGGCTGTTTACTCTCTCCCTTCCTCTTTCTTCTGGTGGTTGACTGGATTATGAAGACCTCGACATCTGAAGGAAAACACGGAATACAATGGACAGCTCAGAACCAATTAGACGATCTGGACTTCGCAGATGACCTAGCCCTCCTATCACGTACACACGAACAGATGCAGATGAAGACAGCCAGTGTAGCAGCAGTCTCTGCATCAGTAGGCCTCAGTATACACAAAGGGAAAACCAAGGTCCTCAAATTCAAAGCGGAGAACAGCAATCCAATCACCCTTGATGGAGAAACTCTGGAAGATGTAGAATCCTTCACATATCTGGGAAGCATCGTCGATAGACAAGGAGGTTCAGATGCAGACGTAAAGGCGAGGATCGGCAAAGCAAGGGTCGCATTCCTACGGTTGAAGAACATATGGAACTCAAAACAACTTTCAACCAATATCAAAGTGAGAATCTTCAATACGAACGTCAAGACAATTCTACTGTATGGAGCTGAAACTTGGAGAACTACAACAACCACAATCAAGAAAGTACAAGTATTTATAAATAGCTGTCTTCGCAAGATACTCAACATCCATTGGCCGGATACCATCAGCAACAGCCTTCTGTGGGAGAGAACAAACCAACTTCCAGCTGAAGAAGAAATTAGGAAAAGACGATGGAAATGGATAGGACATACATTACGTAAATCGTCAAACTGCATCACGAGGCAAGCCCTAACTTGGAATCCTGAGAGGAAGCGAAAAAGAGGAAGGCCAAAGAACACATTGCGTCGGATAATAGAAGCAGATATGAAAAGGATGAATTACAACTGGAAGGAGCTGGAAAGGATTGCCCAGGACAGGGTTGGATGGAGAATGCTGGTGAGCGACCTATGCTCCTTCACGAGGAGTAACAGGTGTAAGTAAGTAAGTAAGTAATGTTTGTGGTAAATAGTCGCTGATTACCTCAACTTATCAAAATGATATCTTTTGTGAAATTTATTCCCAAATATACAGCATTCACCAAATAGATGAACGGAAAAATGGTAAAAAGTTCTGGGTACGACACATGTATTAAACAATGAAAAGATTGGGGATATACTCAATCTATATCAAAACAACAACCTTGAATGAAATTTATGTCGTCATTATTGTATAAAACATAAAAAATGAAATTAGAAATAAAGCTCATAATTGAAACTAATACATGCACTACTTACTTCTACTTCCAATCTTACATAATCACATACATGTACAAATACAGATTGTAATTCATTTAGAAGAGCATCGGATAATAAAATATTTTTGCCTTCCGCTACACTCATTAAACAAAGTGGACAAACTAATTAGGAAAAAAACGCAGGAAATTAAGATGATTAATTTTACTTTCCTCAATAAATATTTAAATGTTTATGTAATCTTTTAAATAAAATGGATAAATAAATAAGTAGTATCTCGAATGTATATAGATGACTATTATAAACAAAGATGGATAGAGGGCTAGAAGTGGAATCCATGACGCGCATTTTGTCCTATTTGAGACTCGACAGATAGATGTCCCAGAGTGGACATCAACTCTGAGATGCAGGTACATCCAGCTGACGAAACCCAAATGGGACGAAACGCATGTCCTGGATTCCACTGTTAGCCACTATTCATCTTTAACAAGGGAATCGGTTTCTATATTTTTCAACGCAATTATTTTCTTTTTCTGTTAATTTGAATGGAAAAATAATAATAATAATAATAAGGATACATTATGCTAATTACTATTTATCTGGCTTAGCATTCTGATTAGAGACTAAGCAATGAGATGACATGATAAAAAAACAGTATAAGACTAAGTATGCTCATCACCATCGGTATAGATTAATTCATAAAATCGAATAGATCAAATTCATTAATCAGTCATTGCATAGCAACCAATATCATAACGTTATTTGATGAGAATTCAACTCAACTGAAAAGGATAGTTTATTTTGAGGTTACTTGTTATCAATCTAAAATCAACATATCATCAATAAAATTAAATCATACCAATAAACTACAACAAATTATAGAAAATGAAAACTGGAAGATCAATTTCATTTGAGTCAAACATTAACCGGACATTATCAATTTGTTTCGATAGTGATAATATCATTTAGCAAATCAATAATTAACAATAGTGTCAAGTTGAATTGTCATAGTGACTAAATAACAATTCAATATCAGAAGGGGTTTTTGTGGATATTATAGTAATTTTAATAGTTGAGATCATGAGTTAATTGAATATAGACCACCATGAAAAACGTGAATGCACTGAACGGCCGTTTCATTCTATTGTGGGACCGTTCAGCAGTGCTCATTCACAGTCCCGCCTCGTGAGATTCGAGGAGTTCCACAATAGAACGAAACGGCCATCTAGTACTGCCAGGTTTTATATGGTGGTCTAGCTTCAACTGATTCATGGTCTCAAGTATTAAAAAAAACAATTTCTATAGTCAATGGTACTTTTTTAAGCGATTGTTCAATTAATAAGAAAAAGTATTATGAAAACCATACTAATTCAAAAGTAAAATGTTCTCACAGTCAATTTTCGGTGGATTTGCACATATCCCAGCAAGCTATGGATTGATAAAACAAAACAAAAATTGTACAAACTAACCATAAATTTTTGTAACGAAATAGTAATAAATTGCAGAGGCATTAAACTAATTAAATTAACTATGATTACACTATGATGTAAGACAGTGGAATAAAGTTAGGATAGAATCGGGTTTTAGGAAAAAATCAAAATGATCAGTTTTTTTCGGCCGGATTTATCTTTTAGTCACTTTCTTTCACTCTGAAAGCGTTAAACTGGTGAGGCTATATAGAAATGAGGTAATGTATAACGAATTGATTGAATCAGTTAAAGGGATTTGGTGGATAGTGATTTAGATTGTAGGTTAATTTCGTTAACTATTGACTTCAGTTGGGTTGCAACAGAAAATCTAGGAGTATTGAACAGCTGTTTTTTTTTCTAGTATAGGATTCCTCAGTGATATGCACCAACGAATTCCCCTGGGATCGGACTTACAACCTTCAGGTCTGATGGGTGACGCTAATGCATTAGAAGGAACAGATAAATGTCCACAGGTATATATACAAATTCGGTCGATTTGAGATACATTGTGACGACGATACAATGAGGAAACACAAGTGAGAACTGCTAAAATGTCCCTTACTTGCACAAAATAATTGTTCAAAGGTTTACGGTTTCCGATCGTATCTCAACTGGGATTATTCTTTGACGACTACAGTCTGTAAATTTAATGAATTACTGAAGTCTTTCCACTGTGGTTACGTTCATATTTTCTGCGGTATTGCATTACTATTTAATGCTTCAAAGATGGGGTTTCTCATCTGTCGTATTAAATCATCGAACACAGCATTTCACTATTTGATCTCACTTCACACTACGATCTTACTTTAGTTAAACAACCATGAAAAAGCAAAAGGAACTAGGCAACTGGTTTATACTAGAACGAGAGCTATCAGCAGTGATTTTCCACAACATACCAGCGACTGAGCCTATGATCTTTAGGTCTCATAATGGGCACTTAGCCATTAGTCCGTTGAGCCTGTCTCCAATGGTTTATATTATTTTGCTTCAATCAATCTACGAGAATACGCAACCATCTCCCAATGTTATTGATAGGCAACTGACTTAAACTCAATATGATGAAACTGCATTCGATATTGCTTCTTACTAGAACTCTGTGATTTACTTGTCAAAATCAATCACTAATGAGAAAAATACTTTTATTAGTATGAAGCGTTTACGTAGATTTTCGAGTTTAATGGTCAACACCACATAATGACAGTCGTCATTTCTGTTAACTCTTTACACTGACAATGGAAATTATTCATACTATCATGTTTTTTTAAGACAACTTACTGCACATAGTTCGGCTGCACTGTAAGCATATATCAAATCATAAGCATAATCCAGAAATTCAGTTAATATTCTTTCACACTAGAAAAAATATACAATCCAAGAAGAGAGTCGTCAGTTTTTAAGAAACAGAATATTATGGTTGTTAAGTGGAATAGTGTTTGTTTTATCAAAGAAAATTGACTATTTTCCTAATGTGATTATCGTAGTTATTAAGTGGAATATTGTAGAAATTTATGACAAGTATTGCTAAACAGAGTAAGCTTAAACTTTAAAAAAAATCTCTGTTTTTTTTTAAGTTACATGTAACTGTCAATGATGGATCTTATTAGAATTTAATACATAAAGTTAATTTTCATCACTAAATTAATTTCAGATAGTTGAAAGTTACCGAGTGTTGGACAGCTCTTTTGCTCTAGTTTGGATATCCATACTCTTAATCCCGAAAAAACTTTTGGTGTTAAATGGTGGATGCTTATTTCCAATGCACTAGGTGTAGTGGTAGTGGTAGCAGTAGAAAACTAGAAGGGGATGTTCATTTTTTATATCATGGATTACAATGACATCTAAGCTAATGTCCAGTTCTTGATGGAAATTATTGTCCAAGAAATGTATGTTGATCACATGAAACAGTGAGATATTACAACAAAAAACCATCAAATATTAATTTCATTTGTAAACGGAATTTAATTTGGACTATCATCACTTTTGATGGCATAGAATGTAGTATTGCCCACAAATGCCCTGGTATGGCCGAGGGGAAAGAGAGTCAGCTCTCCTTCTCGAATTACTCCCTCATGGCTGCGCGTATACAGCCACTCCCACGAAAGTCCTATTCACCGCTTTCTCGTACCATTATTATTGTTTACGAAACCGAGAGGAGGAGAAACAACTATCCGGCGCATTAATCGGGTCGGTGGATATGGTGGATCCTGAGTAAAAAAAAACGGCGTATGAACCAATTATTGGTCACCGGCTACCATGGAACTGCATCTCCTGACGTTGTTCCACAGCCTTGTAGATCAAACCTTTAGGTCAAAGGTTTCGGGTGTGCCTCCCTAAGAAAACCACCTGCTTTGTTCTGGGCACTCGGGCAGTATCATATTCTACACACTAATCAAGTGACTTGTGTGGCACATATGTATTCGGTGCCACTCTGTACCAATATTTATATGTTCAAATAAATAAATGAATAAATAAAACGAACTCTGCCTGGAGTCCCTTCGGGGGCTACTGCTGGTCCAAAGCCCGGATAAAGGAGGAGGTTTGGGCATGGGGTTAGCGTCCCCATCCCGTAGAAAACTAACTCGCTAAAAAAACGCTAACCAGAAGATAAATAAAACGATCATAGTTTATTCAAAATGTGTCTATGTTCACTAAGCACTTCTTTTTTTATTGATTTAATGGATGAATGTTTCGTAGTGGAGCGCAATCTTCTTTTACCACATATATAGTTTTTCATCCTGTATCTCAACATAGACCATAACAGACTGTTATGCATAACTTGAATCGTTTTAAGTAAAAAAGAAATATAATGATTCATTAGAAATAAATCATAATCTTGTATTTCTTACAGGTTGATAAATATTTTTTAAATTTGTACAAGTCACTTCAATATGTTCATGTACAAATTGTTTACTACCAAAGACAAATGTTTTAGCCAACCATAATCCAGATTTACAACCGAAACATGCTGAAATAAAGAAAGGAGTGAGTATCAGGGGGAGAGAGAAAGTTCATGTAGATAATAGGATAAATAGATTATTATCAGAATGGGTTTTGTAGAGAGTTTTTAGAAATTTCAAAGTTTGAAATCATGAGTCGATTGAAGCTAGACCACCATGGAAAACCTGGAAGCACTGGACGGCCGTTTCGTCCTAGTATGGGACTCCTCAGCAGTGCGCATCCACGATCCCGCACCAGGTTTTCCATGGTGGTCTAGCTTCAATCGACTCACGATTTCAACCTGTGAAATAGATTATTGTTTTCATGGAAAATAAACTTACAAGGATTAGCTGGATTTCGATTTAAGATAAAATGATGATATATGCGTTTAAGTTGGTTGAATTTTATATTCTAAAACAAATACAAAACAAAAATAGAAAAATACTTATGACTTGGTTTTACAATTAGGGTTGGATGAAGAGTGCTGGTGGGCGGCCTATGCTCCTTCAAGTGGGATAACAGACGTAAGTGAGTAAGTAAGTTGGTTTCACAATTAGAGACAATTTTGAGGGGAGTTATAAATACTGTTGTTATATTTATTACAGCTGGATTTCTACGGATTAGTTTTGTTTTTCTCTAAAATAGTTAAGCTGAACATTTAATAGAACACAGAAATGAACTTAAGACATTGTACCATGAGTTTATTAATGTGTTTAATTTACACATTTATTTTGAATAACAACAAGCTTCATTATTTTCATTGTAAATGATTAATGGCAAATGTAAACAGTATTAAACTAATTCTGTATTGTTTGTTTGTATCTTCCCAAACAAACGATAGAAATTGAGTTTAAACTCCACCCCATTGCACAAACTAGGGGCGATTAGGACTCAGTAGCTAAGTGAATAACGTGATGGGGTTTGAAGTTAACGGTATTGGATCCGAGTCACGGAGTGAACATCAACTCTAGGATGCAGGTACATCTAGTTGACGAGTCCCAAATAGGACGAGACGCGCGTCCTGAATTCCACTGTTAGCCACTATCTATCTTTGCATGTAAAAAGTATTAGATAGTTTTGCCTGAATATAATAAATCCATTGATTGAATAGTATATATATATATATATATATATATATATATATATATATATATATATATATATATATATATATATATATATATATAAGGAAATGTAGGAGATTTGGTTCCAAATCCTGGTAAGCTGGCACATATGGATGACTTGTTACCCATGCTTAGATAACATTTTTACCAATAATCTATACTGATTATAAAAAGAAGGGTTTGAAAAAGCATGTAAGTAGTCAGAATAAAACTGAAACTCATTATGAAGTCATTGACTGACTAATAAATTTCTTCAGTCTATTTGGTTCAGATCACAGTTTAGACAGTTAAGAAACAGAAGCTAATGACATTAGACAATGTGATTTGAAATATATTCTGTTGTACAACAAGTAAGTCCTTTAATTCTGAATTATCCACTTCGTAGAACTATCATAAATAATACAGTTATGAACCGTTTATTTATTTTACCTTAACACAGTATTAACAAATGTAACTGAAGGACTAAGCATTTTAAATGAAAACATTGTCAGACAACGTCAGTTAATTGATGGTAGGAGGTTATTTTTAAATATGAGTAATAATAATAATATATGATAATAATAACTATCTAATCGATCACTCATTAAAAAAAATAGCCAGTATAATTATGAAATTGTACATCTCCTTATGTTGATCGGTAACTATAACATCACATCTAGTCTGTATGACCACTTTTCAACATATAAATACGGCTCAATGGTCTAGAGGTTAAGCGTTTGCGCGCCAGACCAACAAGTCTCGAGTTCGAATCTCGCGAGGTGGGATCATGGATGCGCACTGCTGAGGAGTCACACGATAGGACGAAACGGCCATCCAATGCTTCCAGGTTTTTCATAATGGTCTACCTTCAATTGACTCATAATCTCAATGATTGAAAATATAAATACTTGCCAATCAAAACTATGTTTAATCATATGTTTTGTATTATATTACTCATTACACAAAGAGTGTTAAACCCTTGTTTATGATTGTGTTACTGTTTGTAATTTTATACTTTTTACAACTTATATAAAAAGACTTGAAATTAAATAATGAAATCAGTTTATGCTTTAAATCTTGTTATTCTCATTTTATTCAAATATAAATATGAATAAGAAAGTTTTAATAATCAAGTATTACACTTACATTGAATTCACTTTCATAACTGTGATATTCCTTGATGGCTGATGAAGCTTCATTAAAGTGGAAACCTCATAATATGAAATTATACTTACTTAGAACCTTAACTAATGATGATAGAATTAATAGTTGATAAATCATAATGATAATGGAAGTATTCAAGAATATATATATATATATATATATATATATATATATATATATATATATAGAAAGAGAGAGAGAGGGAGGGAGAGAGAGAGAGCAAGAGAGAGAGAATTGGTGGTTTTGTAAAAACTGACCTTTGATGTATTTTTGTTTTAAATGAACAAAGGTAATTATATAAGAGGGTTATTTGATGATTTCCTTCAGAGGATACATAGAGTTTTAATATGATTATTTTATATTGCGTGACTTGAAAAGAATTTTAGATGTATTAAATAGAGATTATATGTTCGATTTATAGTCTTTTGATAGTATTCACATTGTGGTGATTTACTGAGGCATTAGCAAGATTTTTAGATGTTATGATAAGCATATTCATAATCTAACAACAGGTTAAAATTAGTTATGGATTTACTCTACTTAGGAGTTTCATACTTGGTACTAAATACTTACCAAATGGGAAGTACAACATAAAGGTGAAAATGGGTGCTTTGGGCGCGAAAACAAGAAATTCAAATTTCCAAAATAAAACATTAATCAAATGAGTTCTGAGAATCTAACATCCCCACTACATTATAATGTCAAATAACTATGAATCACTATTGTAAAGACTATCTTGTCTTGATTAACTCATATAACTTTTTTTTGACTACTTCATATTAAGACTACCATTCAGTACATTGTAATCATGATAGAACGATACACAACTAAGCATTAGTTCAAATTGTCACACTGAACATCTATTTCAAATAACCATTGATTCAAAGAATAGTTATACCATCCAAATATATGTTAATTTATATCTATTTATAATGAATACTTTCATAATTAGAATAAAAAAAGATTTTACATTCATTTGATGTTGTTTACTTGTATTTTCCCATTGTTATTTAAATTGATTCAATGGAAAGATACAAGTAAACAATACCAAGTGAATTTAAAACTTCTCCCCATCGCACAAGCAAGTGGTTATTAGGATTCAGTAGCTAAGTGAGAATCTAAAGCGAATGATACTGGACTCGAGTCCTAGAGTGGACATCAATTCTAAGATGCAGGTACATTCACCTGACGTGTTCTAAATAGGACGAAACCCGCCTCCTGGATTCCACTACTAGCCACCATCCATCTTTGTTTAGAATATCTATGAATGAAGGTAATACTGATGCAATGCGCACAGTATGCAAATATGCCAATAAGAGACTGTGGTGGTTCCTAACGAAAGGAGTTTAAACAAGAGATATCGACACGCCAGATTAATAATAATATGCCAAGAAAGTTAACAGTAAAAAAACCTAGGTGTCTGTTTGTGAGTAAAAACCAAGAGTAACAAAATATAGTTACGATATAAATGGTATATTAAACAAACAGACAATAACAGTTACTATAGAATAAATGTTACTTGTGAGCTGCTTCGTGAGAACAACAACCACAAATAAGTTTACTCGATTATCGAAGGTTCCTCTGCAAGTAATTGCATCAACGGCGTACTGAGAAAGATTGCGTCCAATAGTATTATAATATAATAATCCGTGCCAGAATTCCAACGTGGTGTCAGAAGGGCTAAAGGGATGTTATAACACCATTATAGTCTTCAATCAAAAACCGTGGTCAATAAAGCAGAAGAACAAACGGTATAGATAGCGGTTTATATTTTCAAACCTCGCGGTAGTAAAATCGTATATTATTCATCGAAACAATTATCATCGTTATTAACAAGTAATAGAGAAAAACAACAGATATTGAATAAAAATGTGGTTACATATAAAGTGTGACAAATTAGAGAGAAAATGTGGTTTTAATTTTGTTGTTACAAAAAATCACTGAATATACGTCACCATAAGACTGACCGATTGCAGTCCTGAAAATCAATGGGAAAATACGACTAAACTGTACCAAGTTAATTTAAAACTTCACTCTATTGCACAAGCAAGCGGCTATTAGGACTCAGTACCTAAGTGGGTAACGTGATGGCGTTTGGAACGAACGATACTGGATTCAAGTCCCAGAATAAATATCAACTCTAAGATGTAGATATAACCAGTTGACAAATTCTAAATAAGACGAAACACGCCTCCTGGATTCCACTACTAGTTACTATCCATCTTTGTTTATAAAATAAATAAATACATCGATTGTTTTAAAATAACCTTAAATATAAAAAAAAAACTATTTGATATAAACATAAAATGATTACAAGTTTGTTAATCACAATTCAAAGTTCAATTATCAACTCTTATTCCTTATAATAATAATAATAATTGTCTATTATTACACTTTATAAAGTCCATTGTAATGGTCATTAAAATGACCATTGTTTTATACAGTACGATTACAATTATGTTTAATCGACAACTTCATCTCATAATTACCTTATGTATGTAATATATCTACTTTATAAATGTTTCCTAATAGTAATCTATTTATCTTATATTAAAGGATTTACTATACATAATGAATATCTTCAAGTAAGTAACATCAATTGTAAATAGATTTGATAGATTAATAAATTAGTTAGTTATAATAGGGAGATTTCATCAAGAATTAACATGAATTAAAAGATTATTGAGAATTATAAAGCAATAGAATATAGATCAGAAGGAGTTTTGTGGATATTATAGTAATTTTAATAGTTGAGATCATGTGTGACTGGCTTCAAAAGGTATATACTGGAGTTCTAGTAAGGAGCAGTAACCAATGAAGTTCAACCGAGTGGGTTATAAGATAGTAACACACTGAAGACAATAGTGGATGTGTTGCTCAATTTGATGGATTAGTTGAAATTAGACATTAACACCAGTGGATGCCGGTTCAGTGGTCAAATGGTTAAGTACTCACTTTCGAGACTGATATATCCTGGGTTCGAATCTCGCGGGGGGCGGGATCGTGGATGCGCACTGCTGAGGAGCCCTGTACTAGAACGAAACGATAGTTCAGTGCTTTTAGGTTGTCCATGGTGGTCTGGCGTCAATTGACTCATGATTTCAACTATTGAAAAAGGAAACGATTGAAAACTATCGTATTAAGAGCAACTGATGAAGCCTACAAAGGACGAAACTTTATCATGAATCCGATGTTAATAGTTCATTTTATACTTGGTAACATGTGAATAAAAACGTTGTTTGTTGCTCATCCATTTTTTTGTATCATCTTGTTTTTAGAATGAAAATTTATTGAACTGTGAGTTTATTTTAATTTTAAAAAAGGATATTACTTAATTTGAAAATTCATGGTTTGATATCTTGGTGCAGGATTTTCATGCCTTGCTTAATCTATAAACAAAAATTCAAATAACTGCGATATTGTACATGTCAAATGGTTGATATATCATATTAATTACCAGTCTTTTAACTATAACAATGTGAAGCAATTTAGGTAACCACTAGTCCCCTTATTATTATTATTACTTAAAGTAATAATTCATGAGAAATGGCTATTTATCTTCCACACTTTTCTTCTTGTTTTCTTAACTAATGTTTTTGAAGATCGTTTGTAAATATCATGTGTATTTCTTTTTTAAATCTTGATCACGTAGTAAGTGAATCTATCGGCAGTTGCCTATTAAAAGCATTAGAAGTATATGAACAATTATAAACGTCAATAAAGAATCTACTTTAGTGTAACACAGATCATCGACGTACAGATTAATAGGAACAAATATTTGGAATCATTTTAAACATTTGACCAAAACAGCAGTCGAATGAACACTGATGGTCTAATTAAAATCAGTCCTAATGTAAAATTCATTTTTTAACCATTTTTTAGATGGATCAGCTGATTCGATAGAAAGGCTGAAATTACTTAAGCAACCAAACTATACGTCTTTCTTTAGAAGACTTTATTCAAACTTTAACTAAATAGATATTGGGAAACACAACCAGTAACCACTTGTGTAAATATATAATTACTACATTAAGAAATTACAATTAGTGTTTATATCTAGTAGTGTTCAATTCAAATTGCTTTATTATCTCTTATAAGATAAGTAATCTATAATAAAAAGATGCAAAACGATCAGGATTTAATTAACTGTGTACATCGTAGCAATAGTTAACTAATCCTAAACTATAAAATATTACAACGGTTGAGATCATGAGTCACTTGAAGATAGACAACCATGGAAAACCTGGAAACACTGGACGGCCGTTTCGTCCAGTTGTGGAACTCCTCAACAGTGCGCATCCACGATCCCACCCCACGAGATTCAAATCCAGGACATATCGGTCTCGCGCGCGAGTTCTTATTTTCTAGACCATTGAGCTGGCTGGCATCCAACGGTGTTAATTTCTGATTTCAACTAATCCACCAAATTGAGCGACACATCCACGATTGTCTTCAGTGAGTTATTATTTCACAACTGACCCGGTTGAACTCCATTGGTCACTGCTTCTTAATCGAGCTCCAGTCACGGAACGACCGTCCAGTGCTTCTAGATTTTCCGTGGTGGTCTAGCTTCAATTGACTCATGATCTCAACTATTGAAATTACAATAATATCCAGAAAACCCCTTCTGATATTAAAAATATATTAGTCATTATAGAATATTATTAGATAATCCTTATTCAGTATATAATTCATATGAATACATTTAACAATGATAGTTTCTGTTTACATATTTATTATGTAAGTGGTACAATATATTGAGTATACTTCACAAGGGTAAAAGTGTTGAATAGAAAACAATAAAGTAACGGATTCAAATGTTACTCAGAATAAGTGAAATGGCATTTAGGACGTTGGTAACTCTTATGTTTATAAAATTCAGTATTATAGGGAAAGATAAATATTTCTTTTATAGACAGACACATTCATAACAACACTATTTGTAAAATAGCAGTCAATACAATCGAATGAAAAATATACCATTTCTATTTAAGCATAGTAAATAGTCTGCTCAATGCCCATAGAAACAAAGAGCACGAATACATTATTATTATACAAAGTTCATGGCATCCCTTCAATTTTTGACCATAAAACTGTTCCATCTCCTTTTTCATCAT